ACCTTGTCCAGGCCTTGCCTCATCAAACAAGGAAAACTTTTTATACACAATCAGCAGCTTAATGCAGCCAAAATGTTTCCATGCTCAACACTGAAAAAGAGCTCTAGCAAGAAAAATCCTATAAGCAGCTGAGGAGGGAGACTGGTGCATGTGTGTGAGAGAGAGACATTGATGGCATGTTTATGTATGTGGCAACTTGGGTCCTGATTTAAAAAAAAAAGTTCTGCTATACAGCATGTATCTTCTAATTAGCATTTGCTGGTACAAATTAATACTGAACCTATCTCTTCCCTGATCTAAACACAATAGTAGTAAAGAAACTACAATGGACATCAGGTTTCTAAGTAATTATTTAGATAGTCAGTATCTGTTGTAGAAGAGTTATCTACTACTGCTTATAAAAATATTTTCATCATTGCTTAAAAATCAGTATGAGAGGAAAACATTTCCTTGCACTGTGAATCATTGGCGTGGACTCTGAAACACTGTTTGTATAATGCAAATGTTTCCATTTAAGATATCATTTGTACCATGTTCTCAGTAAGCAATTATATCTACTGACAGAAAACAGCTTTTTATGAAAAGATACTCAAAACAGTAATAACAGGAAAGAGGGAAAATTTCATGGATATAGTGAGATCCCAACATAACAATATGGTGAGTTTATCCTGACCAGCAATACTGACTAGGGGGTTCTGGCAGTCATCCTCTTAACAAAAAGATCAGAGCAAGAAACAGAAAATTTTGTAAATATTCATTTACTAACCTAAGTAAATGAATAAGTTCCACCTTGACTGAAAAGTACCTAATTGCTTTAATTTGGATTTTCCACAAGTCTTATAAATAGCTCCATTTTGATATAATATCACTGAATTCTGAAGCCAGACACACACAATTATACAGTTCATTGTAGATACAATCTCTTGAATACCTTTAAGAATTTGAATCCACAGCCAACAGTAAAAGTTCCACGAACTGCAAGAAGGAAGATAAAGATTCAGTGCTGCTGTTTAATAACTCATTAAAACAGATCGCGCATTCATTAAATGTTTTGAACATGGAAAACAAACCTCTACAGAGATGTCTTCACTTATACAGTACTCATTTATAAAAATTCAATTCTATAAAAAAAGTCTATGAATTTGGGATATTGTGTTTCTCTATTCACAATTCAAAATGCCAGGAAATAGCCTGATACTGCTGCACAATATTATACCAGTGTTGCCAGCCGGAAAAAGCATTACATAGCAAAGGAAAGCCTGAATGTTAACACCAATGCCAACAGTTAAGATGATCTCTTCTGCTCATTACCATTCACACTTGTTCAAAATCAACCCTGACAATTGCTTTGTGTTTGGGTGAGAAGTGATTTATTGATGACAAAAAAAAGGAGTCAGCTTGCTTGATGTCACTTTGTGAATCGCAGTAACAATTAAACAACTGACCACATGGAAGAAAGTGTTCAAATCATCCTGGCTTGAAAAAAAGTATACACCAGCAGCAACAGAAAAAAAAACCCTCCATGTCAAGAATAAAACAGACCAGAGTGATTCAAATTGGCTTTTGCATCAAATGATCAGTTTAAAAATGCAAATTCTTCCACTGTGCACCCACAGCAAATCCTGAAGTAACTGACTGTGTAGTTGCAGCCTTTGGTTTTTGTTGTTGCTGTTGGCAACTCAATTTCAGTTACTTAGCATATGCATAAATGTAGGTTTGTCTGGAATATTTACACTTAAATATTAAAAGTAGGGGGAGAATAATGGTTATCATTGCCATAAACTCTGTATTCTTACTGAATTACAATACTGTATAAGTAGTATTCTGTTAATAGAAAGTTATACTGTAATTCTCTTTGTCTTTTTTGATTATGTAACATCTTAACGGTTCAGATTCAATTTTATTGACTGTTTCCAGACTAAAAATTTGTAATTACAGTTCCTAGAGCAAGTCCATTCTGCTTCCTAAGGGTTGCCAGAAAGTAAGACTCCATTTTGACCCATAATAGATGGAAAAGGAAGATGAGCAAGGAGATTGAGAAGAACAAGGGTCAGAAGTATCTGTGGTTGCCTCACCTTCCATGATCTTATAATTCTTTAATACTTTCAATTCAGTTGTACTATTTCGGTGAAGCAGACTGGATAACTCAGTCAGTTGGGTACCTGGCTGCAGAGCCAAAATCAGGAAGTTGGTCCCCCCCTTGTGCTCCTGGAGAACAGCCAGCCTGTTTAGCCTTGGGCAACCTGTCCAGTCCCAGAGCACCACTAGAAGAAGGAAATGGTAGAAAGGGTTGCTATAAGTCAGAATTGACCTGGTGGCATGTAATTTATTTATTTTTACTTTCTCATTTCCTAGCCTTTGAATAAAATGTGCATATAAATGTGTTACCTAGTCACATCGTCTTGTAAATATACCTTCCATGTGATTTTTAAATTCAAGGAAAACTCAATTTGATATACTGAAGTTTCCTGCATCTTTTACTTTTCTAAAATGTGTTCCCTCAGCCCCTGTATATAAAATATAATTTTGATCTGATTCCTGAAGTTCTATGATTGTCCACTTGGTGTCTCAGTTACATCATAAAGAAGCAATCAGCATACTCATATGGAAAGGTAAGGATCCCTGGAAGAGGAAAGTTTCATTTATGAGAACTACTGCAGTGAGATACAGCCTGAATTTATCACAGCAGAAGCAAATGTTCGTAAAACATGGAGTAGTGCTACTCAAAATGGTGTGGACCAGCCATCAGTCATTGCTCTGTAGCAAGCTGCCAGGAAGTACAGATTTCCTACTAGATATATTGTCTTTTTTAAACAACATTTTCAGTAAAAGATAAATAATTTTAAATATTTTTCCATAGCCCCCAAGCTGGCAACCTTATGCTTGTCCCCAACACACAGGTAAAAAAAAAATCCTTCCTGGATCAAAGCCCTAGTTGCCACATTCTATTACAACTGTGACTTAAGAAGAGAGAACGTAACTCTTTTTGTAGTGAAGCTAGTAAGTTTTACCTATTTCTATAGTTATAGATCACAAGCTGAATACAAGCCATCAGTTCAATGGGATGAAAAAAACTGAAATGCTATTTTAGAATGCATGAACAAGGGAGCTGGAAATTAAGAGACTGCAGCTTGTAATGAAAGCCAGCAAATTCATGGTATTAAAAGAATTTGGAGTGACTTTTCTTTATTCTTATCAGATTGTTGTGCAATATAAAATTATGAACACATATGTAATATAGGGAAAATTCAAACCAAATTAATGACACTATTTTTGAGCAGAAGTGGACTACTTCAATGTTTGTTTGTTTGTTTGTTTATTGCACTTATATGCCGCCCATCTAGACATAGTCTACTCTGGGCAGCTCACAATTTACAAGATTAAAAACAGCTAATATATCATGACAGTTTTACAGCATTATACAATGAAATCAATAGTTCAAGATGGGAAGAAGAAATTTAAGTAGTGCCTGGAGGGAAGGCCTGTTTGAATAACCAGGTCTTAAGTAGGTTTTTTAAAATGCCCAGCGAGGGGGCCAAACGGATCTCGGAAGGGAGTTTGTTCCAGAGAGAAGGAGCCACTGCCGAGAAGGCCCGGTGTCTTGTTTTTTCTTTTAGGACCTCCCTCGGCATTAGGCTCCTCAATTGCCCCTCCTGACTGGATCGAGTGGTACGGGTAGATCTAGGTGGGAGAAGGTGTTCCGTCAAGTATCAAGGCCCTAAACCATTTAGGGCTTTGTATGTAATCATTAAAACTTTTATCAGAAAAAATGTTAAAAGTTAAGCAGATTGATGGAAGGGGGAATGGCAAGGGGTAGGTTAATCTTAAATCCTTGTAATGTGCATATTTTCTCAGCGTATGATGCAGAGTCATGCTAAAGACCAAGGAGCAGTATATGTGCGAAGGCTTTCACGGCCGGGATCTAATGGTTGTTGTGGGTTTTTCGGGCTCTTTGGCCGTGTTCTGAAGGTTGTCCTTCTTAACGTTTTGCCAGTCTCTGTGGCTGGCATCTTCAGAGGACAGCACTCTGTGCTCTGGTGTAGTTGGCTTTGGGGGTCAACGTTAGGAAGAACAACCTTCAGAACACGGCCAAAGCCCGAAAAACCCACAACAACCAAG